TTCTGTAATTGTATAGATATATGGTTTGCTATAATAATGCGTAAACACTATTTAAGTGGATTTTCTTTCTGTTGTGTCTTTTGTTTTGTAATTTTAACTTTACTGAAAGAGAAACCTGAAAATGGAGAAAATGCAGATGATATAGATTGCATTTTCCATCTGTTTTTGGAAAAACATGATTGATTGTCATCTTTTCCTATTATAGTTTGCTTCCAAGTTGTCTTTTTCTCAGCATTAATATTGCAGTTTATGGTTAAGTCGAGTTTTTCTTCTTTATAAGGTTTATTTTTCCAAGCTGTTTCTGTTACATTAGCATTATGGTAAATAGCAGACAACATATAATCACAGATTTTTAGACCTTCCAAATGTGAGCGTTTCGTAATTTTTGTGATCTAATATTGGATGCACATTAATCAAGTGGGGTTTTGCTTTTTCATATATTGTTTTGTTGTTTAGTATTTTAAATAACCTGAAAAATAGACCTAAAAATGGAAATATTGTTGATGGTGTAATCTGCATTTTATATTGAAAAGTTTCTCGGACTATCTCCATCTATTGTTGCAAACTATGCATCCTTTTTTCAGTATTAATATTGTAGTTTTTAGCTTGTAGGTTCATCGTTCATATTCCTTACATAGTTTATTTTTTCAACGATTCATCTAAAAAACGTAAATGGACATACATTTTTTGTCAACAAAACTGTTTATATCTTATAAATATGATATGGTTTTTGGTAAATAAGTCGTAGCTGATAGGATTAAAATGTACAATAAGATGTTCAGAAGAATATTTGTGAAAAATATTTTGTATAACTTACATAAAAGTCCTTATTTGACCCATTAGTATTGTATACTATATATATATAAATTATGGTTCCTCCACTACCATTTATGTTGTAATTTATAGTTAGATCAACCTTTTCTATTTCTTTATGTTATTTGCTTCTGTAGCGGTTGAGTACAATGGTCTTTGAAATATATCTACATTCCATATTGTATAATTTTAAATAAACTGAAAAATAAAGCTAAAAATGGAAAGATTGTTGATGGTGTAATCTGCAGTTTGTATTGAAAAGTTTCTCGGACTATCTCCATCTGTTGTTGCAAACAATGCATCCTTTTTTCACTATTAATATTGTAGTTTGTAGCTTGTAGGTTCATCGTTCATATTCCTTGCATAGTTTATTTTTTCAACGATTCATCTAAAAAAAGGGATTAAAATGTACAATAAGATGTTTAGAAGAATATTTGTGAAAAATATTTTGTATAACTTACATAAAAGTCCTTATTTGACCCATTAGTATTGTATACACAGAATAGTATATGGTAACATGATTTTGCTTGTGAAATTATGGTTCCTCCACTACCATTTATGTTGTAATTTATAGTTAGATCAACCTTTTCTATTTCTTTATGTTATTTGCTTCTGTAGCGGTTGAGTACAATGGTCTTTGAAATATATCTACATTCCATATTGTATAATTTTAAATAAACTGAAAAATAAAGCTAAAAATGGAAAGATTGTTGATGGTGTAATCTGCAATTTGTATTGAAAAGTTTCTCGGACTATCTCCATCTGTTGTTGCAAACTATGCATCCTTTTTTCAGTATTAATATTGTAGTTTGTAGCTTGTAGGTTCATCGTTCATATTCCTTGCATAGTTTATTTTTTTAACGATTCATCTAAAAAAAGGGATTAAAATGTACAATAAGATGTTCAGAAGAATATTTGTGAAAAATATTTTGTATAAGTTACATAAAAGTCCTTATTTGACCCATTAGTATTGTATACACAGAATAGTATATGGTAACATGATTTTGCTTGTGAAATTATGGTTCCTCCACTACCATTTATGTTGTAATTTATAGTTAGATCAACCTTTTCTATTTCTTTATGTTATTTGCTTCTGTAGCGGTTGAGTACAATGGTCTTTGAAATATATCTACATTCCATATTGTATAATTTTAAATAAACTGAAAAATAAAGCTAAAAATGGAAAGATTGTTGATGGTGTAATCTGCAATTTGTATTGAAAAGTTTCTCGGACTATCTCCATCTGTTGTTGCAAACTATGCATCCTTTTTTCAGTATTAATATTGTAGTTTGTAGCTTGTAGGTTCATCGTTCATATTCCTTGCATAGTTTATTTTTTCAACGATTCATCTAAAAAAAGGGATTAAAATGTACAATAAGATGTTCAGAAGAATATTTGTGAAAAATATTTTGTATAACTTACATAAAAGTCCTTATTTGACCCATTAGTATTGTAGTAAGTATGAATACACAGAATAGCATATGGTAACATGATTTTGCTTGTGAAATTATGGTTCCTCCACTACCATTTATGTTGTACTTTATAGTTAGATCAACCTTTTCTATTTCCTTATGTTATTTGCATTTGTAGCGCTTGAGTACAATGGTCTTTGAAATATATCTACATTCCATATTGTATAATATTTGTCCAAGAAATAATTTCTTATTATTTCTCTTCATTTTACTGGATTATGCTGCTTTGCAATAGCTCATTATATACTACGTTAACAGTGTAAGAGTGATTATTTGGAGTTTCAGCTACATGTTGACGGTTACCTATATTTATCATTTGAATCTTGAGGTTTTCAAAACTTCTTGCTCTTGATAGTGCAACATACAGTTGGCCGTGATCAAATACTGTTACTGGTAAAAATAAGCCGACACTGTTCAAAGTTTGACCTTGACTTTTATTAATTGTCATTGCAAAAGCCAGACGTACAGGGAATTGTCTCCTTTTCAAGTTGACTGGTAGATCAAGAGAATTTAGAGCGATATTATCAACTCTGGAAATAAATTCGATCGAAGGTTCATTATTAGATTCTTCCACTCGTTTCGCTTCTATAAAATTTTCGTGTAAATTATGAATCAATAAACGTGTGCCGTTACATAAACCTCTCTTCACATCTAAATTTTTCGTTAAAATGATAACTGCGCCAATCTTTAGTGTAAGTATGTGGGGAGGAAGTCCTGGAGCATCCAAAGAATTTAAAAAGTCTTGCGGCCATGCGGAATCTAAATCATCAGCAGCATTTTCGGTTGTATCGTCTTCTCGGATAATACTATCGACACTTAGGTATTGCCGTGACCTACCTGGCAGTTTTTCTAAAACAACTGAATTGATATCCTTGACATGAATGTTTAGTGGAGACAAAATCGCTTTTTGTAATAATGTGAAATCGTGTTCAGTTAAATTACTACCGTATATGCTTTCAGTAACATCTTCTACAATGATACGATTAGGAATTTTAACTATAGTGTCTCTGCTATTTTCTAAGCGACGTAAAATTTCGGAATTATTTCCTATGGTCATCAGCCAATCTTTGAATTCGTTTTCTTGTGGCAATGCTCTAACGTTCGTAACAAGATCGTACTGAACAAAGTATTGCCATAGTTGGGAACATTTCACTGATGCAGAAATAGTTTCATTTTTGCCTGCCAACGGAACGATAGGTGCGCATTGCCTGAAATCACCTAGAATTATGATAATCTTGCCGCCAAATGGAATGTCATTGTTCATTATTTCTCTTGTCTTTCTATCTATCTCATTGAATATACTTTTATGTACCATAGATATTTCATCAATAACAATAATTTTTGAATATCTAATATTATCAGCAATCGTACTCTGATTGCGAATCCTCGACGTTGAATTTTCTAGAAATGGAACCGGTAACATAAAAGAAGAATGAATCGTTTGGCCATTTTTCAATAAGCTGGCTGCGATGCCAGTATAACACATAGCAATATAACGGTGATTATTTCCTAGTAAGTAAGCCAGTAGTGTATTCAACAGAAATGTTTTTCCTGCACCTCCAATTCCGTTAATAAAAAATAGACGATGTGGAACCCTTTCGTTTTCGTTTAGGGCCAAAAGTATGTCGTTAAAAATAAGGCGTTGTTCTTGGTTTAACAGAGGAATGTTCCTATTAGCAATTTGTTGTTCGTCTGCTTGGTCATAATTGTATTCATCTTCGATTAGGTGTTCTACTGGTTCAGTGGGTAAGGGTAGTTGAAAGTCTCTATTTGATTTGCCTAAAAATAAAAATGTATGTGATTGAACAAATATTATATAATTATACTGGGAAATTACTTATCACATTAATATTATTTTAAAATAATGTAATATAGGTATAAGATCGATTGAAATAAAAAAATGTATTATGTTATGTTAAATTAATAGTGTTAAAGATATTGACGTAATGAATTAATTCATATTTTTTTAGCACGGTAGTGTTACCTAGAAAATGATTAAATTTAAAAAATTTCGAATACGGAAAAAATGTAAAGTAAAAATAAAAAGTTATTTGAAAACATAGGCATCAATTTTAAATGAATTAATAAAACTAATTATTGATAGAAATACTAACCTTGTAGTGTTAGATATCGATTGATGTAAGCCAAAGCATAGTTGTAGGCTAGTTCGTTATTATTTAAGCGTCGTATATAATCTTCGGATAAATGATATTTAAATTGTTCCCATAATGCTAACGGATTTTCGATTTCACAAAAAAGTAACATTTGTGAAAACATACGGCGAAGAGCTCGTGGAATTTCTACGCGTATAGCCTCTTGCAAAGTAGAAAACCAAATGCTATCGTCCGTGAGAAGGTTCATCGCAATAGCAGCGTCACGGAACGTTTCGTACGTACGGCCATGTACAGTTCGAAGGTCTTCGAATGATCTACATCCTGTTTTATGCAAAAGAAGTTGACGAAGATAAAATCGTTCACCTTCTCTAGGATGAACAAAATATAACCTAGGAATTAAACGATCAAAATTTCGTTGACGTTTTACCCAATGTCTTGTTTGACTTATTTTCCACACATACTTATAAGGTATTTGTACGTAAGTGTATTGCCTAGCTTCTTCGTCTTGTACATTCAAAGCGAACCATCCTGTTAGCGTAGTGTGTTGTGTTGCGGCTCTTTCTACAACGTCAGGGATGGTACTATTTGTATTAAAATAGACTTGTTGCATATTGGGAAGATGTACAGTAAGTTTGATGATAGCATGAGACATATCGTGCATTTCGAATGTATAAATTCTCCACATTGCCTCAGGTGCGCTAACATAGCGAACGTCCATGAACGTTTGAATTTCGTTGTATATAGGTTCCTGAATAGTTGTTGTTTGACCGTCTTGTTCCTCTACAGTCCGCACGACAATTTGAGCTCTATCAAATCCTTTATATATATATTTAAATAAATATTTCACGCTTTTTATTGAAGAACAAGCCTCTACGTTAATATGAGCTTCGTATTTTTCAAGTAGATAAGCATTGTATGGTACAACCCAACCGTTATCTACTGTTCTTCTACCTATGTGTATAGGTACTTCTATTGGCCGTCTTTTATATAGCGGATATCCAGAGGAATTGTATAATGTATCTTCACGCAAAGATTTCGGGAATTGTTTGCTGCAATGTCCTTCGTCATCTAAGCATCGAGCAGCAGTACAAGGTCCATGAAGCATATGTACTTTGACCAATTCGTGCAAGTTGGGATGCGTGATAGGGTCGGGAAATTCTGCTGAAATTAAACGGTCGATTGCTGCAGAGTCCAAGATTTTATCTGATCCTTCCAACCAAATCAACATATGCGCATGAGGAAGGCCTCTTTCTGAAATTCTATCACGTAAACGTAAGCAACGCAAATTCCCATGACATGTCGTTTATCAATATCTTCTATTAATTCCTTCAATTTGCTCTTAAACACCCTCGAAACAAAATCGGGCCTATTTGAGGAATGTTGGTTTGTATCTAGGTTATTCCTAATTTCAGGCCAAACAGGATTGCAAGTAAATGTTAGGAAAATATCTGGTTTCCCATGTTTTGTGACTATAGACATGGCATCCAAATAATTTTGTCTAAATGCGCGTGGGCTTCCTATGAATGTTGACGGTAGGATGAAAATATTGCCTGGTTGATAGTGAACATCAAGTTGTCTAGAGTCTAAATAGTCGATTAGTCCTTGGAATATTTCTTGCCTGATGCGTGGTTGGTTTTCAGTAATAAATTGTAATCGACTCTGTTCTATTTTTACGTATGCATCTACGATGTATTGTTGCGTCAGCTTGCCTGCCATTACAAATTGGTTGAAAGTATCTGGTCGAACAGCTATTCTAAAACTGTAGTATTCCAGTAAAGATACATCACCTCTTCTACGTTGATGCGCTGTTCCAGATTGCCAGCCTGGCTCACCTCTTGGATGTAATAGGGGATATGTCATTGCGTCGCAGTTAACACTAAGATATGGTAATTCGTGGATGATTTGATCGTTGTCTCGACAATAAACATGTAAGCAACGATCCAGGGGCGGTCTTCCATCTTCAGAAATAAATACGGCTGCTATTTCATTTGCTTGTACTGCGCCATATTGTCTAAAATTAATATCCCGAGCACGGTTGTTATTGATGTACAATTCTAAAGTTAGTTGACGATTGTTATGTTGTTGTTCCTGATAGACATCTTTAAGAAATCTATACGCTTGAGCAAAAGGATTGTGGCTGTGCATGTAATTAGAAATAACATCGACGGTTTCTCGATTTAATTCCGTTCGATTTTGTGGGCCAGCAGACCGAAGCTGATTTGCCAGTTCGGTATCCAAAAAATATAGATTGCCGTATTGTCTGCGTTCATTAGAAATATTTGTTGAAACATTTGATATATAATGTCTTATTTCTCCCTGTACCTGTAAAGAAAAATAAATTCATTATGGAAGGGATAACGAATTTATTAATATTATAAGTGGTTTAAAAAAATGAAATAATTGGTGTCTAATATATAACTGTTCTTTGTATATGAATAAAATAAATAGTATTGTAAAAAAGATACAAGTAAGATATGAAATATATACTGGGAAAGGTTGGGAAATCTCGAAACTGGATATGTTACAGACCAAAATGTGTGAATTGACTTAAACATATCTCAATCTAAAAGTTGATAGTTTGCAAGATACAGGATGTCAAAGTTACAATTTTATTTTCTATTTTTCCTTAATGTTTGAGAAGTATTTCAGATGTTGCCATAAAACACGGTATAGGGAGGTCTTCTACTATAAGAAACAAGAATTCGTTATTTTTTATGGCCAAACTTTTTGAGGGCGCCACATACAGTACTATTTCGGTAAATAAATCATCATAACTTTTTTGTGCTATTTTAACAACAGTTAGAAGTGTAAAGTGTAAAGTGTAAAAAGTAATTTTTAAAATACCAATGCATTATTTGTATTATGATGATAAATTATTTTTACAACATAATAATAAAGTTGCTTTAGATAATATCTGGGTAGCGTTGCTATGGTTTCTAATGTTCGGCATAAGATTATTTTAAGGTCTATGAATAATTGTAAGTTGACAATAAAACGTTTACCATCATGGAATATAGGTTTGATGAATATTCTGATGAGAATTTAATATATGGATTAGTAAAATGTAGTGGTTTAAAAGCACGAAGATTGTACGCTGACAGATTCTCTAATAGTCACTTGCCTAATTCAAAGATTTTCCAACGAAACGATCAGTGGTTACGAGAAACTGATAAGAAATGATTATAGTCTTATTTTGAGTAGTAAATACCATTTGCATTTTAGTTAAATTTGCTCGAAGTATGGGCCAACTTACTGGAGCTCTCAAAATTGTACATACAGCTGAAATTGAAGAAAATGTTTTAGATGTTGTCTTTGAAAATTGTACAGTTGAGGTTGGGAATGTAGTTCGAGAATATCAAGTTTCCAAATGTTCCATACATACCACTTGCAAAAAGTATATGGTTTAAGAACGAATGAAGAAACCGCAAGGATAGAAATTTGTACATGGCTCTTAACTCGCAAAATCTTTACATGTATGCAATATATCCTCATGAAATAATATAAACTTGCCAAAAAGTACAATTTCAAATTAATTTATATAGAAGAAATGTTCTTCTAGGGTTATTTAAAACGACGCATTTACAATACGTTAGTGGAAATTGAAATGATCTTCAACAAAAAATGTTCTACCATAGTTAGGAAATGAAAAATAGTATCGACGTTTTGGAGAATGTAGCAAGGATTAGTTTGTCGAATTTGAAAGTGTGTTAGATAAGGTAGTGCTCATTTTGAACAACTTTTGTAGTTATTATTTTCGTTTAGTAGTTTTGTTGCCATCTTCATTTATTATTGTTAAAAATCATAGCAATGCTACTCACATATTGTATAAAACAATTTGACTATTATGTTATAAAAATGATGTATCATCATGGTATAAACAATACAATGGAACTTTAAAAAACAAATATCACGAAAACTATTAGCTTTAGACATTTCAAACAAGTCTTTTTTGTTGTGAAAATACGGAAAAATAAGATTTTTTGTTTAGTTGTATACAGAGTAGCAAAAAAAGTTATGATAAGTTATTGACCGAAATAGTACTACAACTGTCGCTCTGTATAACTTTGCCCAAGAACAATATTGAATTTTTGTTTCTCATACTAGAAAATCTCCCTATACCGAGTTTTATGTCAAAATCTAAAATACTTCTCAAGTAAAAAAGAAAAATAGAAAATAAAATTGTAACTTTGATACCTTGCATCTCACAAACTATCAACTTTAGGATTAAGATATATTTAGGTCAATTCACAAAATTTGATCTATAGTGTATGTTATGCTACACTGTATGTTTCTTTTTTTCAATATACATTGTAATGGAAAGTTTCAAAATATTTATATCATCAAAATATATATATATATATATATATATATATATATATATATATATATATATATATATAAAACTAAAATTCCACGACTTGGTTTGGTGGGTTATATTTCAGATCAAGCTTATTTTTTTCCTGGAAAGTACCTATAGAAGTATGAGGTTTTGTAAAATATTAAGATTCTAGGTTGAATGATCCGATTTAGATATCGTTATCCTAATTGTAATATCACGTATCATCAAATTTGCTGAAATTGAGATTCTAGCATAAATAAAAAGTAAGCAGTATTGTACACCGTCTGTAAAAACCACGTATCAGTTTAACCAATAAGAAACGAGCTATTTCATTTCAAAGAATACCGCGTAACATCATCCACAAAGTTAGCTGAAAAAATACCTCGTATGAACAGCAGTTTAGACGTGGTCCTTACAAAGTGCGCATCACGCTGCGACAAGTTAGAGGAATAAGCTGATTTTAGCAAACGTACGTTGATAATTATCATAATTAGAGTAGTATATATTAGCGTTAATATACTGAACATGTCATTTATTAGTCTTGTTTGAGTAATTAAGCAATACTTTGAATAAACAAGCCGTTTTTATTCAAACTTGATGATACGTGTTTATCTCAAATTATGTCCCATTGTAATTCTTTTTGTAGTTGGATGATACGAGTTATTGTTTATTACTATTCCAAGCATTTAGCGAAAGAATCGGCGAAACATTAAAATGTCCTTGCTTCGTATTTCCTAATTTATAAAATTTATATTTGAAAAGCGCTGTTGCCAAAATGCTTACTTCAAGTTCAAGTAAATTGCCAAGATGTATAGTTCTAAATTAAATACAACTTTTCGGAATTTATAGGAACCTCATCCAGCCGTTAGTATCTTATAGCTTTGTTCCATTATAGATGTCAAGCAGAAGTAAAAGGATTCTGGCCGCTGCTTTGGAAACGAATAAAAACAGCCAGGTTTTAGAAGAAGCGCTTACACATTCAATCATTTTTACAAATGAAGATGTTATTATTGAAAATATGACTAATGATGGATTTTCGAAAGGAATTTCTGAAATTGACTCTGTTCTCCCACTAACGTTGAGTTACAATGATATGAATGTAGATATCATAGACGCATTGGTACATAATGCTGAACATGTGTCACCATCTAAGCATGCGGACGGAAGTACAGTTTTTCCAATTGCAGCTTCAGGCGAGAACAACGTTTCTCAACTACGTTATGCTGATATAGCTTCCCAATCTGTTTCAAAAACCTGCAAACATCAAGTGAACTTTTATATGGAGAAATGAATGCAGCAGCTAGAAGACAAGACCAGTCTGTCTCAAAGGATGCTGATCGGGAGTATGAAATGGAAAAAGAAAATGAATTTGACGAACTTGATTCAGACTTTATTGATACTGAAGACGAAAATTGTATCGATGGACAAGAACTTGAACGACAGAAGAAATCCAAGAGAAAAAGGAAACCTGAAAATATTCATTGGGCTAGGGAAAAGACAAAACGTAACGGAATGGAAGGCAAGGATTATCTAGGATATAGTCGAAGCAAAACTGGTCAAATACTACACAATAGCGAAACGCAATGCAGAAGTTTAGGTCCAGCTTGCTCCTCCATGAAGTGCTTGAAATACAAAAAGAGACACTGTAATATTATAACTCATGAAGAGCGCTTGTCGATTTTTAAAAAATTTTGGACTGATATGTCTTGGGAGCAAAAACAGATAGATATATGTAGCAAGTTTGATGGAAAAGATAGAAACCAGAAGGAAATATGTGAAGTTTCATAATCGGGAAATTGAACTACCCACGGACTACGTGAAAGTAACAAGAGAAGCGCGATTAAAACCAGAACCGTACGAAGTTAAATACATGAACCATACGGATTTCAGAAATTATGATATTAAAGACCAAATGGTATATCATAGTATCAGTCCAGGAAAAAAAGCACATGACCCAACAGTAACTAATTTAAGAGAGATCCACTATTAATCAAAAGGCAAAATTCAAATTAATCTGCAGTTTTAAGATGAGCTCACCGACCTACCTCAAGGAAGTTTAAAGAAGCCATGTATGATACACCACCAAAGATGTTATATAGATGGATTAAAAATATCAAACAAGAAATATGACCATTTGCAAGATCTGAAATCTACTCTAGCAGATGAAGTACACAGTTTCTATGAGAACCTGCCTTATGAGTAGGAAGACAAACATCCTTGTCATCTTTTTCTACTGTTTCCTTTGAAATCTCTGTATTAGTTTCATTTAAATATTGTACAACAACAATGTTCAATAAAGCCCTGTTTGGTATATTGTTTGAATAATGAAACATCTATTTTCATTATAATAAACCTAAACACTAAGTATCATCATCAAACAGCTAAGTGCAATAACATGTATCAAACATATTTTTCACAAAAAATATGGAATTTTTAAAAATGATAACTAAGTATATTTTAACCGTAAAAGTAGAAAGACGTTACATAATTTATAAGAATAAATTATATACGGCCGCCGTAAAACAGTTTTTATCATTTTCTGTAAAACGACAAAATAGATGATACGTGGTATTACAATTAGGGTAACGATATGCGTTTGTAAATCAAAATATAAATTTTAATACTTTGTTAATTCTTCAATTTCTTGCTACACCTGTTTTGAGATTGTAAACGTGTGTCCAGAGTGAATCGTTTGACCTAAGAGCGTAAACTTTCAAAAAGAATCATGTTCCATAGAGTAATAAAATTGAACCCGCTATAGCTCAGAATTTTTAGAATTAAGGTTTATACTAATTTTGTAAATGTTTAATGTTGTAAGCTATTTTAAATGTTTAGCTAATAATAAATCAGTAAAAAATTTCTAGAAGAATTATTTAAACTATTTGTCGAATAAATTATATTGCAATTTGAAGGTAATATTTGACTTCGTTGGATAATTCTATTTAGATGATCATATATTATTGTACATATTGCTTTGAATTGACAGGAAGGAGTAGAAAAAAAAAGAAAAATTGTTAACATACTAACATTTACATTTTGGTCAAAAATTTATATTTTGAGTGCCGTTCCAGAGTAAAGTGTTCATTGTAAGACTTTAAAATTTTATAAAGTCACTTCCATAGGTACTGCTTAGAAAAAAAAATGAATTCGATCTGAGATATGATTTGTCAGGTTACATTGTGGAATTTTATTTTTGATCCATACATAATGTTATTTTTACTGTTTACCTTGAATACATAAGGTCCTCGACCAGGCGGATTTATAGTATTGGTAGCTAGGCTGGCGAATGCGAAACTATTGTTATAATAACGCACGTTTTCCATAAATTCTCGATCTTGAAATAGTACTCTTAATTGTTCAGGATATGAATCAAATGGAGGCAGATGTACTGCACCATCCTTACAACAATTTGAATAAACATTTCTGGAATTTTTTTCACATAAAAAATGTAAGGCTCTACAGTGAGAACAGGTAAAAGTGAAAGTTCCCAATGTATATAGACCTGTGTAATGATTAGTTGCCGCCATGTAATGATTCCCTCTTCGATGAATAGTTTCAGTTACATTTTCGGTTATTATATTATTGGTATTTTCTAGTAAATTGTCTATATTAAGGTTAGCTAATATGTCATTAAGTTCATCGTGTCCCATTGTCATAGTGATATTGTCATCACTCTGTTGTTGGTTTAAAGTTGGTAAGGATGACGTTTCTATCGGTTCAATGTGTTGTAATGGGATATCAATTTCCATCCTTGTGGAAGTACTCATTGTTAGCAAAGAGGTAGTTTCTTCAATGTCTTGTTGTGACAATGCCCGTATATTTGTTGGATGGTTAACAATCTCTGAACTATTAGTACATGTCCTTTGTGGCGTGATTGCTACAGGAACAATACTGAAATAAAAATAAAATTACAAATATAATAAACATAATGTTTTCGTCCAGTCGAACAAAATCCAGAAAATGATGGATAGTAGTTTCGTGCTTTTTGGCTACACATTAGCATGGCCTAGGTATAGTTTTTTCTTTCTGGATAATGAATGAAAACATTGTGACTGTTCTTTATTTCGAACGTATGGTGTATTGAATTAAGAGTGTGCTATCTATTACACCATAATTGACTACTTCGCTCTTCGCAATGGTCGATTTTAGTGTGACAGATGGCTATTTGCGTTTTATTGAATATATATGTATATATATATATGAAGTGGGTAACAGGAGAGCGTTTTTTTATTTTTTTCATGGAAACATTATAATAAATTTAGCATGAGTTGTCGGTTTTCTCCATTGATCGTATTTCCGGGCATTGTACAATTTTATATTGAAGACTGATAACAGGATAACTTGAATTGTACATCGATGTCAAATAGGTTGAAGGGCATATGCATATATAACTATAAAGTTTTCGAGACGGAGACACAAAATTAAAAAATGTATGTCTGTGAGTGTATCGAACAAATGTTCACATACAGGAGAAAGTTGCATGTGTATGTATGAAGGAGATAGGGAATATATAAAGAGGTATTGATACTCTTACTTTGACCCATTACCAACGGTGACTACAACTATATTTATATATCCAGATACGAGTGTAACCTAAAGAAACGAAGATGGATAGGGGAAAAATGATATACAAAGTCCACAACAAGAGCCAACGTATACAATGTAGTATAAAATGGCTAGAAAAGCTTGACTTTTCAATGCGAGCTGTCATCACAACCACGTGATTGGTTATAATTACCTACTGAGGTATTTTAAGTCCTAAAAATCTAAAAAGAGAAAAGAATTATGCGGAGAAAGGTATATATCAAATAGAAAAAATAATGGGTAAAATCCGCAAAAAGAAGAAAAGCAGATTAGATTATAAAATATGATAGGTAACCCGAATGATACGTATTTCCGTTTGCTGGCTTCATTAAACCCGAAAAGAATACACATATGCAATTTAAAAAGTGAATACATATGCCCATACATCTAGATTTAGGTGCAATCTGAGGAAACAAAGATTGAAAGGGAAAAAAATGATATACGAAGTTTACAATAAAATTCAACCTTTATTCGTCATTGTCCGTCAGAGCGGTCCGAGGGACCTTTGTTCTTTGTTAAAGTATCGTGAGTCAGTAGGTGTATCAGATCTGATTGTCCAGATACCATACGAAGTCAGGGAGAAAGAAAGGAAGAAGAAAGAAAGGAAGGAAGGGAGAAGAGCAAAGAGGATGAAGTGCGCCGGTTTAAGGGACGCCTTGCTATTGTTAACTGGTATTCGGTTATTTTAAATTAATCCAAAAATTGATTTAGGAAGTTGTCTAAAATTGCACGATTTGATTTTGGTCATAGTGCGAGCTGCGGTCTTGTATGCTTGTGAACTTGCTTGATTGTATAGTCTACTGACTCACGCAACAGAGGGTTGCTGTGTGATTCTGTCTGAGTATAACGTAATTGCGCCTGATGTTTGATGTAGTCCCTTAGGTAAGGGATGTTGAGGTCTGTGTGAAGGGTGTCGTTGGAGATATACCATGGTGCGTTAGTGATGGTTCGTAAGGTTCTGTTCTGCAAAACCTGCAGATTACGCATGTGCGTTTTGGCAAGAAAACACCATGCTGCACATGAGTAAGTGATTGATGGTCTGATGATAATCTTATATAGCCAAACTTTGTTAACCAAACTTAAATTTGAGGTTCTACATAGTAAGAGGTAAAGGTGCTGAAATGGAATTTGGAATTTAGTTTTTAACGCTTCAATGTGATTCTGTCAGGTCATTTCCCTGTCAAGAGTGACACCGAGATATTTAGCAGAATTTCCTCATGGTAAGCAGGCTCCATTCATTGAAACCTCAGGCGAGGCGCCGCTACGGTTTTTAGTACGATAGCGTGCGTTTTCAAGTAATTAATTATCCACCGATCTGCCCATTCTAATATCCACCGCAATTTGTAACCTGTCGTGAACCACATTTCCGGTACGCGACTGGGCCATTAGTGCAGTGTCATCAGCATATAGATAGACTTTACAGTCGTTAGGGCAAGGGACATTATGCGTAAAAAGTGGGTAAAAGATTGGCCATACAACTGAACCCTGAGGGTACCGGCTCTGATGTTCCGTATTGTCGACAAGAAATTATTAATTTCTATCCGAAATTTCCTACCTTCAAGGAAGAATTTCAAAAGTTTTAGGAGTTAAAATGGAAAGCTCTTTTGAATTAGTTTATAGAGAAGGGTCTTGTGCCACATCTTATCAAATACCTTCGAGACATCCAGAAGCAAGATGCTAGTACGTTCGGTAAAAGTAAAGCCCTTGGTTGTTCGCTCCATAAGCCTAACCGCTTGTAACTTTGTACTATGCTCAGACTGATGTCTAAATTGTAAGTCAGGAATTACAACTACCTTTTCAGAGAGCTTAGACGGAGCAGACAGCAGGCTAATGGGTTGATAGTCCTTTGAAAATATCGAACCCAGCTACTTTGGCATTATTATAACTTCAGTAGTCTTCTACGCCGATGGAAAGTAGTGGGTCCTTAGCATGGTATTGATAATAGCCACGAGATAAGTCAAAGACATCTGTAAAACCAGCTTCAGCGCCTTATTAGTGATTTGATCCTCCCCAGGCGTTTTATGCACTTTGAGGTCTTAAATATGACCTTGAAGCTCTGCTAGTGTGTAATGAGGAATCTCGGGAGAAGCCGCTGATGTGATGTGCAATTCTTCAGCTGAAGAATTTTCCGAAAAAGAATCTTCCGAGGAAGAATCATTAATGGCGACGTCGGGATCACTGACGTCGTTGGCTTTAAAATATCTCCTGACGGATCTTACAATTTGTTGCTCCTCGACGAGATCATTATGACGATCATAGTAGGGAGAGAACTGTCATTGTATAGCATCACCGAAAACCTCGATTTTGTCCTCTGTCCTGAAGACTATGCTCTCAGGACCGTAGATGTGCGGGAGTTGTCTCGCTTTCCGTTTCTAAGCGAATTTGTCACTTTCCCGAAAGCAGTAGTTGAGTCAAGCATAACCCAAGTAATATGTATTTCTGCTTGTTGGCTTCATTAGGCCCGAAATGAATGCATATATGCAACAAAAAAAAGTAGATACATGTACCTATACATCCGCATGCAGGTATAATTTAAGGAAATGAAGATGGAGAGGAAAAAATAACATACAAAGTCCACAACAAAAGTTAACCTACACATTGTAGTATAAAATGGCTGAAGAACTTCCTATTTTCAAGGCACCATCTAACCACAATTACGCGACTGGTTGTAACCACCTGCTGTGGTATTTACTTTTAATACTTGTATATGTGTATTCATTTCAAGCTTGATAAAGCCAACATGCAAAAATATGTATCACTTAGGTTACTTATCCTATTTTCTGTTCGAACGCGCTTTCTTTTTATTTGTTATATATCTTTCTCTACATGATTATTTTCTCTTTGTAGATCCTTTAGGCTTGGAGCACCATAATAGGTGGTTATAATTGGCTGCATGATTGTGGTTAGATGTCGCTTTGAAAATTCGAGGTTTTTTAGCTATTTTATACTACAAAGTGTAGGTTAGTTTTTGTTGTGAATGTTGTGTGTCTTTTTTTTTTCTTTCCAACTTTGATTCATCAGGTTACATCTGTATGCAGAGGTGCATTTATTTCGGGTTTGAAGAAGCTAATAAACAAAAATATATATCTCTTGAGTCACCTATCTGATTATCTGCTCGAATCCACTTTATTCTTCAATAGGTATTTTTGTTTTGCAGATTTTGTCCATTTTTTTGTGTTATATATATATATATATATAATAAATAAAAAAGGAAATAAAGAAAGAAGATTCGAGCAAAAAATAGATTATTTAACCCGAGTGATACGTATTTTTGCTTGTTGGCTTTATCAGGCCCGATATGAATGTACATATGTAATTACAAAAGCAAATACACATGCTTATACATCCGGATATGGGTGCAACCTGAAGAAACAAATATGGTGAACGAATAAAATGACACACGAAATCAAGCTGACATCTAACCATAACAATGCGATCGGTTATAAACACTACTATAAGCCGAAAGAATTTTTTTCATGTGGCGAAAGGTATACAAGGTGTCCCATATACCTATTTGATAGTTATTCTAAAAATAATAATTTTAGATAGGAAGAAAGACAAGAATGCAAGTATTACATCCTTATCATTTTAAACGGATGCAGCATTTAACGGAGGCAGATTTTTTACTATGAAACGAGTTTTGACAGTGGCTATTAGCAAATGAAAATATTATTCCTAGAATATTATGGTCGGATGAGTCAATATTTACTAGGAATGGTGCTTTTAATTTCCATAGCATGCATCACTGGTCAGATGAAAATCCAAAAGTTGTTCGATGTACAATTTTCCAACATAGATTTTCATTGAACTTATGGGCAGGAATAATTGGGGATCAAGTAATTGGGCCTATTGTACTTCCCAATCTTCTTAATTTAGAGGTGTATCTGAACTTTCTTCAGAATGAGCTTATGGATATAATACCATTGGATGTGCGCCAGCAATTTCCAGAAAATATGTTTTATCAACATGATGGCGCCTCTACACATTTTGGACGCAATGTTCGAAATTGGTTGAATGTCAATTTTCCAGACAGGTGGTAAGGCCGAAGAGGTCTTATAACATAGCCGCCACGTTCACCTGACTTAAATTCATTGGATTTCTATTTTTGGGGGTCTTAAAAGACCTAGTTTATTCGACTGAAGTTAATACTTAAGAAGATTTACTTCAAAGAATCCATTAGGTTGTAAATGAAATAAGCAGAAGGTTTTCCATTTTTTGGGCTACGCAATCATTAGTTCGTTGAGCGAGACTCTGTATCCAACAAAATGGGAATTTATTTGAACATTTATTGTGAAGCTAGTTTTTAGTATATATAATCTGCATGTCTTCTTTTTTAAATAAATTTCAATTTCGTTCGTAGAAAAAATTTATTTCTTTTGTTTTTGCCTAAATGTTAATTATGTTGCAATAGAAATATGTAGTTATGTAATATTTACCAATTATTAAATTAGTTTTTTTGCTGCCATGGCTAATTACTCAACAATTCATTTAAATTCGCAGTACATTTCCTATCATATGACAATTTTTTCAGTTTGATTTTATTCAAAAACGGCACAATTTATCGATATGTAATAAGAGTACCTTTTTTATGTAAAAAACCTTAAATTTTCAAATTCTAAAATTGAATTTCAAAAATAGAATCACACAAAAATTTTGGGGCTAAACAACCTGAGTCCGTCTCTGTTATATACGCTTACAAATAAAACTGTCTAAAGTTATTAATATTTTTGAATTCAACATAAAAACCAAGGCTAGAATACCAAATTTTAGGTCTTTATTTCAATACGTTTCGGAAATATTAAGGAAAACCCATCTTCAGGGGAGCCCTTTTAAAAGACTGTAACGCCCTTATGAGATGTTTGTAGATCTATGTTTATATAAACTTTTTTTCCTATTTTAAGCTCTAGAAACCGCTAGTAGCATATTGCACACTTTTTTTGGGACACACTGTATAACAAATAAATAAAATGATAGGTAAAATCCACTAAAATAGAAAAGTGGATTCGAACAGACAATAGGATAGATAACTCAAGTGATACGTATATCTACTTAAATATCTTATATTTCGTTTGAATCCGCATAACCCTTTGCTGTTTGTAAATTTTTTAAATTTGAAATACGAAGGCAAGTCATTATAACTGGCCACATGATTGTGATTAGATGTTGTAGTAGTAGAAGTATTTCACTCATTATACTATAATGTGTATCAAAATTACGACAGTTGAACAAATAATTTATCTATCCTAAACCTCAGACTAATTTTGCATAAAGATAGTGTCTACTACATATGAATTGAAATTTTAAGTTATGAATTTAATTTAAATTATATTTTATTATTTAATTTTGGATCTAAATTAATATTAAAAAATAAATGAATTCTTTACCTTGTATTGAAAGTCGTGATGGACCTGGTATAGCAATGTGATTATTGGGGAATGCAGTTATAATTCTACTTGCTTCGTTAATAAAAACCTCCTCATTTGATTGGCTTACTGAGCATTGTATTAGATGTTGTGATATTACTGGAAGTGTTGACTGCAGAGGTTCGTTTGGTTTTTTAGATTTTTTCAATGGTGTTTTGCCTTTGTTCATTTTTCCTCTGAAAATACAAAATAAACAAGTAAATTGTTAGGTAAATATTTAATGGCATAATGGAAAATATGATGATAGAAGTAAAAAGCATACAAAAGAAAAAAATATGTATTACTTTATAGAGAGAAAAATTAATTTATTTCAAAAATAGAAATGGAAACTTTTAATTCATCCCAAATTGTTTCATTTTTTTCAAATTCCTGTTTTACAACTTGATAGTTATTTTTTGATTCTATATATGCGTACTTTTTTGCTTATTTAGTCAATTTTATTATTATCATTAATCAAATAATATATGTAACATTACATGAAAATTATCTATTATGATGCATGTCATATCACACATTAGTTATGTAATATATTGTTGGTATGAAAAAATATAATTATATTCTGATGTATAGACCAAATGTTAACGAAAATTAATGTTAGGTATACAATTTAATTGAAAAGATAATAAATATTAAATTAATACACTTACTTTGTTGTTGTTTGTATAGGAATGTCTGAACTTGCTGTAGTGTTATGAATAACCATTTGTTGATCTATTGTAGAAGAAGACGTAAGTGATGAAGAGGAGTGATCACTGTGTAGAGAAGCTGTATGAATTACTGTATGTTTTTTTTCGTTTGCTTAGACATAACTTCCTTTTATGTTTACGTTTTTTCCCTTTTACCGAGATGTTGACTCCTGTGTTTTGACCTGGAGTATGTCTACAAAACATTAAGACTAAATTAAGGTATAAATTAAAATGAATTAATACAATATATTAATATCAGAATCAAGGTTAAGAAAAACTATGTTTTAAAGAAACAAAATTTATATTTGTCTGTTAAAACTGTGTTTTTTTTTTGTTTAACATATTCAAATTTAGCAGAAAAAAAACATGTTTAAAATACTGTTAATGCCTGTTTGAAACAGTAAAAAAATTAAAAAATATTGCTTGTATAATCTAGGGACTTAACGAAGTTCCCTGAAAGTGTTATTACATATTTGATCCAGCTCTATTAGAACACTCTCTATTAAAAAACGGACTGTACTGAAATTGGAGAAGTACCGTGGTCTCTGAATAAGTTAGTGACGAATAAAAAAAGAAAGGGAAAGGGTCTCATATGGAAATATTTTAAGAAGACTGATACCAAAGTCGGCTCGAAAATAAATAAAAGAGCAACATGTTTAATCTGCAATATGGAGATACTGCCACTGGTGGCTAGAATGTGCATTCAATTTTTTTTTATATTCAACTACCAACGAAGGGCCTAAGGCCTAAGCACCCATTATGTACTGTGGGGCTATGGGGGATACATACGAAAGGAGGGACGCACATGGACTCTGGCGAGGGAACACGTGTGCATGCAACATGCACACATTCTGGCTCTGCCTACGAGAACCGTCGGGTGGTACCTCCACGTTCGATATTCAGAGACCATCTACCACCTATGGACAATCACAACATCCATAAGCCAAGAGAAAAATTTCTTCTGGGACGAGACTCGAACCCGCACAGCGCACGGCGACTAATCAGGAGACGGAAGAGTCTACTACTGCGGCCACCGCTGCTGCCTAATTATATTGAAAATTGTAGACAACTCAAAAAAAGAAGTTTGTTAGAGAATCAAATATTCATATATCTAGATAGTTTTCATACTAATAGTGATTATGTTTCTATTGAATCTAAACAACCAAAAAAAAAAAAAAAACAAAAACATTTTGCTTAAAACAATAATTTTTGTCATAAGTAAAGTAGAACTTGGATAAAATAATGTGAAATACTATAATATTGTGGCAGAATAGTAGGTGTCAAATCTCATCTCATGTAATTTATCATGTTCTGATCAATGAAGATCATAATTTTTTCAAAATATAAATTCCATGAGATTTTTTAAAGGTTATGTTATTTGTATAAATTATGCAATTTGAATCAAGTTCTATATTATTAAAACAGTGATCTTTGTTGTAAATAGTTGTATAGAGTATATATACACAAGGTGTATTTAAAATAAATTATAATTAAAAAAAAGCTTTAATCATAAATTGTTATTATACAAATACGTAGTCATGCCATAAGTTCTGTCCCTCGTTTTCAAACAAGTGTAGACCTGTTAATACTTGTCCGATTGTTTACATTGTGGTGTCAGTTGATTAAGCGCTTTTCGGGTAATTACATATACCTCAGTTTGTATTGATCTCTCGAAGCATAACGATGGAGTGGGGCAAGGCAGAGAACCGTATTGCAGTGATAGCTTTACATAAGTGTAATCGCAGTGCTAGTCAGATTTTTGAACTCTTACGCGGCCTTCAAATATCGCGTAAATTTGTGTCTAGGACCATTCAGCGGTACAATGAGACGTCCTCTGTTGATGACAGGCCAAGAAGCGGAAGACCTCGTCAAGTAAGGACTCCAGCAGCCATCAAAGCCGTAAAAGCCAGGATTCAAAGGAATCCACTCCGGAAGCAGAAGATCTTATCCAGGGAAATGAAGATTCCTGTCCGGACGATGTCGCGCATCATTAAACAAGACCTAGGGCTAGGGGCTTACCGGAGACGTACGGGCCAGCGACTTACGGCCACCTTGCGACACATCAGGGCGACAAGATCCAAGAAGCTCTTGGAGAGGTACGCAGCTGGGGGATTCCGAAAGATTTTGTTCACGGATGAGAAAATCTTCACCATAGAAGAAAAATTCAACCGACAAAATGACAAAGTGTATGCAAGGAGTTCACAGGAAGCTTCGGAGATCATTCCGAGAGTTGAGAGAGGCCACCACCCTGCGTCAGTCATGGTTTGGTGGGGGGTGTCCTACGAAGGGGTCACTCAGCTCCATTTCTGTAAACAGGGCGTGAAAACAAAAGCGGCAAACTATCAGAGCGACATACTGGATCCTATCGTCAAGCCTTTAAGTGGTACATTGTTTGCCAACCAACACTGGGTCTACCAGCAGGATTCCGCCCCCGCTCACAAGGCTAAGAGTACGCAGCGCTGGCTGGAAAGCAATGTGCCAGAGTTCATTGCTGCGGAAGATTGGCCCTCAGGGAGTCCGGACCTCAATCCTTTAGACTACAAGTTGTGGGACCTGCTAGAGCAGTTGGCCTGCTCCAAAGCCCACCGTAATATCGAGTCCCTGAAAGCGGATTTGATCCGATCAGCGGCAGCTATTCCTTTGGAAGCTGTGCGTGCAGTGATAGATGAGTGGCCCGCGAGATTGAAGCAGTGTGTTGAAG